TTTATCTTCTGTTAAATACTGTTCATGTCTTTTGTCATTTTTCTATTGGGTTGTTTGCGTTTTTCTTATTATTTTTAGGAGTTCTCCATATTAGTTACATGTGTTGGGAGTATCTTTTCCCCATTTCTGAGTTTTAGTTTTTCATGTTTAATGTCTTTTGATGATCAAAAGTTTTTTATTTTTCTGGTTGATTTTTCCTTAATGGATTCTTTTTGTTTTGTTTATGAAGTATTTCTATAAATCAAAATCTTAAAGCTCTTCTCCCCTTAGAAAAAAATAACTTCTCTTCTCATGGGATAAAGTTTGACTTTGGCATTTCATCGGCAGTTGTGTCTTTTTCTGTGTTTTGAGGTAAGGATTCATTTTCCTTTTCCCAGATTGATAATCACTTGTCCCAAGACCAGTTACTGAAGTTTAACTTTGACCTACTGATGTCTTTGCCATTTCCTGCCATATTCACATGGGCCTATTTGTGAGCTGTCTTTTCTATTCCATTGATTTCCCTCACCCCATTGTTTAACAAAGTACAGTCAGTTCTGTCGGTTCTTGGTTCTTGTTATTCATGGTAGTCATGCAAAGTTGCTGTGAAAACTGAATGAGTGAATATGGACCCATTGCTCCTATGGGAGATATGGGGTGAGGTTCCTGCCAGCTTCTGGTCATAATATTTTTGTCAACTGATCACTACATAACCTTGTTTTGTGTGTGTCTGTTTAAAGACACGTTATTCAGTATATATGGTTGAGTTACTAACTTTGAATTCAGAGTGGATGGCACTGATAATTCATGCCACAGTAAATCTTATCTACCATGGATTTTCTCCACAAGGCATACCACGGCTTCTTGTGTGTAAGACTGGGCAGCACTTCCACAGTTCACTTTGGAGCCATTTTCAATAGTGAAATCACCAACCAAATCACACAAAGATGTGAAAACCATGGCACTAAATCACGGAAAGTTTACAATGTGAGTTTACAATGAAAGTTTATGATTTGTTTGTAATGCGAGAGCTGACGCAGGATGCAGAGTGCTGGCCTGTTCTATCTCAGCGGGAAGCGTGCACCTCAGATTAGTATCTACAAATGACTGGGAACATGCTGCAAATACTGATTTGGGGGTTACAAACGAATTTTATGGAGTGGGCAAATTTGCAAACAATGCTGTAATAATGATGCTTGACTAAACTATGAAATCTTGTTGGAAGCAGTCTCTCAGGAGACCATTACCTTTAGCACCTTTTTTCTTTTCTCATGCTTACACATGTTTTATAACATTTTATTTTAAGAGAATAACTTAATGCACTGGATCTCTCAGATACAAAGTTCTGATTGCCAAATACCATTATCTCAATAAAAAAACACTTCTTGCTAGAGAATGTTTTTATTTATAATCTCAGTATTGTTATTTAGTTCACAGGTAAATGAATTTTAGGGAAGAATTACAACCCTTAAAATATTGAAAACAAATGTAAATTATTAAACCCTTATTACTGTGACTTTTGTGTGAGGATCATATTTTCTCGTAGGCACTCTTAGTAACTTAAGGCATAAGTTTTTTAAAGGCAAGTGCCCTTTAGAGGTTTTTAAAATGTCAACTCTATTAAATCCTCATCCGTTGGTGATATTTCTCCATGTGAACATCAGTAAAGGAGTCCAAGAAAGATAAATGAAGATTGTATACTTTATAAATCAAACCTCTCACAAAATGCATTTACTGAGACTTGGCTAGTTTATCCTTTACTCACCATTTAAGATTCTTAAGTGCATTGTTGGTGTTAATTTGATAAGTGTGCCAAGAGAATAATAACCAGAAACTTTGGGTTTGACCTCTGTTCATCTTTTTTTTTATATACACAGCATATATTTTATTTCTTAATTTTTTGAAATGTTTTATTATTTCATATATATGAAATATCACACATATGAAATATTTATATATTTAATATATTAATATTAATAAATATCAATATTTAATATTTAAATATCATCTATATGAAATATTTCATGAATATGAATATATATTAAAAATCATCTATATGAAATATTTCATACATATGAATATATATGAAATGAATGAAATGAATATATGAATATATATTTCATATATATGTAAAATATAACATAAAATGTACTGTTTTAACCACTTTTAACTGTATATAGTTCAGTGGCATGAAGCACATTCATGGTGCCATCCATCTCCAGAACTTTTTCATGTTCCCAGACTGTTCCCATGAATCTGTCCCCGTGAATCAGGAACTCAACATTCCCCACCCCCTTCCTCGGCCCCTGGCAACCATCATTCTACTTTCTGTCTCTATGAATTTGGCTACTCCACAGATAACTCCTGTAAGCTTTAACCATGTGGTATTTGTCCTTTTCTGTCTGGTTTCTTTCAGTTAACATTGTCTTCAAAGTTCATTCATGTGTCACAATTTCCTTCCTTTTCAAAGCTGAATAACATTTCATCGTATGGATAGACCACATTTTCCTTATCCGATCATCCATCCATGGATAGCAAGGTCATTTCCATCTTTTGGCTGTTGTGCATAATGCTTCTAGGAACATTGGTGTACAAATCTTCCCAAGGCCAAGCTTTCAGTTCCTTTTTTATATATTCACAAGTAGGATTGCTGGATCATATGGTAATTACAGGTTTAATTTTTTGAGGAACTGCCATACTGTTTTCCACAGTAGCTATGCCATTTTACATTCTCGCCAGAAAGGCACATATATTCATCTTTAGTTACTGAACAGTGCCTGTTTTTCTGAAGTATGGCATAAATCATTAACTTTTGCGTATGAAATGTGAAGTATGTGGATACTAAAGTAATCAGTATTAAATTTGTTGTGGCTGTAGTTTTTGCAGAATAATTTAACTTGTGCTAGGTAGCAAATATTTCTGACTGCTCCTGATTCATTGTTTTATCACTTCATCTCTTATTTTTGGAATCTCTGTGGAGAGGTACACATAATTATGCATTTCAATGGTAGCTATGAAGCATTTTTTTCTCAAGTACTCAGATCTCAGCTTATTAATAAACTTGCTTTTTTTTATTTTGTAAAGTACATTTGATAAACACTCAAAAATGATTAGAAAACTCATTGATTAGCACACTTATGGAGTGCCAATTATATGCAAAATTCCAGCCCTTGATAGATAAAGAGAAGCATTATGGGATATGGACATTACCTTCAAGAGCTATACAGTCTAAGGCCATGAGACATAAACACGTGAAAAGTCACATCACTGTACACAATTTAAATTATAATGGCATATGGGACAAAAATGATGCCATGCCAACACGTGATTGATGAATCACCCACTGACTAGTTTAGGCGATAGATTCCATGAGCTCAGCTCAAAGGAAATGGATCATTATGGCAGGAGGTATCTGGAAAGGCTTCATCTGTGAAGTAGATTCTGAGCAAGGTGTTGAAAAATACATAACATTTAGGCAGGTGGAGAAGAGAGGGAAAGACCTTCCAGTTAAGGAGGAATAAAATTATTAGGGTCAGACATTTTTAGTGCCTGAATCATTAATTGGCACTAATTGGCATAGTCCTGGGACCAAAAAAAAATTACATCAAATCTATTTAACAAAAATTATAAGTCAGTCCCCCAGGTGTGTATTAATGCTACCATGTTCCCTGGGTAGTGATGGTAGTAGTGATAGGGGTAGCAGTAGAAGCAATAACCATTGGATATTTATAAGTGCTTTCTAGGTGCCAGGCACTGTGCTACACACTTTTTACCCGTTTTATCTCCATTCATTCTTTAGCAACCCCACAAGCTAGGAGCTAGGGGCTATCTCTTATGCCTTTTTATGGATGAGACTCAGAGAGCCCAAATAATTTGCCCACCACCCTACAGAGTAGTGGAGTCAGTCCTGACTTAAATCCAGGCAATTTGGTTTTAGAATAGCAGGTGTTACCCTGGACAGTACCTCCATAACACTAAATGTAGAAGGATCTAGTGAATTTTTTTTTTTTTTTTAATGACCTGTAAACTGCAACTTCTCCATATGGCTGATGTTTAACATTTTGGTAATCCCTGTTTATGAGCCAGAATGGTTTGTAAACAACTCTACAAGGTTGCTTGCAGAGGAATGAACTAGTAGTTTGTTCCTGGTGAAGGCTTGTCTCAACTTGATAGCTTCTGTAGGTGTTCAGGAGGAGAGATAATGGGGGTAATCTGTCCTGTAAACAGCTGAGTAATGACCTTAAACTTGTGTATTCATAGCTGAAAGATGGCATGCATATTTGATTTTCTTCTAAAGAAAACTACTCTGTTCAAGAGACTAATATCCATTGCTTTTTGGTGAAAATAGGAAATTGATCATTTTTATACCTTTGGTAACTTGACCAGTCAGTCCCACTGCTTTAGTTCTGTGGTTTGGGAACACTGATACAGTTTTAAGAGGTATTTTGGCTGTAAGGTTTTCAGTTATTTTAATAAGTTGATATTTCTGTGATTTGTGCGTGATGCCATATACTGTTGACATGAAATATTCCTGTTTTTAGTAAAGATAGCATACATGACTCAACAGACTAGGGATGCAAAAAGTATGACTTAGCATGCTGGTTGGGCCACAGAAACCCAAGCAAGTCACCTCGGTTTACTGTCCTGTAAACAGAGATAAGTGTTAGTTTGTCTATTTCAGAAGGTGGTTATGGAAATTACTAGGCTTTAAAAGATTATGAATCTCGGTGTGGGGACACTTGGCTTTTGGGGAATTTCAACCCAAGAATTAATGTATCTACCTCCTGAATTTTGAGTGAATGCAACATTAAAGACTTGAGATTTTCCCGAAAGGAATCTGGCCACATAGTAAGGTAGGGCTGGATGCATATTTGTTGGTGAAGGAGTCAAGAGGGGGAATAAGAGTGGAGCTCTGCTTGGAAGCCATTGAAGTAAAGGATATAATGAATGTTAAACTTTTTTCATTGTTCTTGTGATTGCTGAAAGTGTATAGAAAATGCTTTTTTAAATTTTTATTTCAGAATGCCTGATTTCATAAGATATAGACAACTCGCTTAAGCCAACGTTTCTGGACAGTAAGAAGCTGTGCAAATCAAGAAAGAAGTGCTTAGAAATATTTTCACATAAAGAGGTACTTTCGTCTAAATAGCAGTATTTTCTTTTTTATGTGTGTATGTATTTTTATTTTTTAAAAAGTGTTTTCTTAATTTTTTTCTTACTTTTTCATCAAAATCATAAAACTCATGGGCTAAAGTGTTTAGATCAGAAATTTCAAGTGCCATGTTTACATCTAGTAGACCCTGGGCATGACAGGAAGTCATGTTTGCTAGCCTGCTGTTGTAGATGAGGAAATGGACTCTTTGCCCAACATCAGACTTGCCGCGTGTGCAGTATAGGTCTTTAGTAGACATACGGACAGCTCTGAATTCCTACTTGCTGATAACAGAGTCACAGTTTTATGCATACCTTTGGTGCCACTAATATAACAAAGTAAAGAATTTGGGTTAGGTATTTTAATGTCTGTCCTGCTTTTAAGGTGAAGCCCAGTGCTGTGCTAAGTGAAGAGAGTAGCAGTGCCATACTAAAAAAGTATAATCCCAAGGACCGACTAGGAGTCAGAATTCACATTTCATTTGGCAGCGTTGGGTGTGTTTGGGGCTTTTTTGCTGGTTAGGTGTTTTTTTTTTTTTTTTTGAGGGGGGGGTTTAATCTTCTTCCAAGAAGAGTTGATGTGCCACATTTACACTTGAATGTAGTTTAGTGTACAGCTGAGACTGAGAAATAGGGTGGTTCAGAGTAGGGTGTGAAATCGTGGCAGGTGGTGTGTTCTGATAATGGATTTATCAGCCGTAGTCAAGTCGGGCACTTGGAATGCCCAGAGTAAATTTATGAATTGCTGAACTGTAATTCTGCTGACTAATTCGGAAGCTTTGTAATTTATTTTCCTTATTTTTATCCTAAGAAGGCATCCATTTAGGTATATTATATAGTGGTCAGGAGAGGTTAAGTGCAATGAAATTGCAGGTATACATACTGTATGATAAATGAAATTAGAAGTCATACAGGATGACACTGTGTAGCTTAACTATATTGCCTTGGACGATGTCCCTGAAGTGTTTTTATGGGTGAGATAGCTGCCATTTATGACTTTAGCTGCAGAAGCTTGTTAATGGAATACTTTACAAACCTTAAAAACGATTATTATGTAGATATATATTTACTGATACAGAAAGTTTTTCATGAGCCATTTAGCAAAAAGGCAGGTTACACAACAACCTAAAAGTAATTCAGTTTTGTTTAAAAAAAATATGTATCTACATAGCGTGGGAAAATGGCCCAGAAAAAATACACACCATTAGGTGCATCCTCAAGCTTAACCTACTTACTAAATCTGTTGACCAAAGCTTCCTGGTATGGCTGGGGCTTATGGTATGATATGCTTCTGATAAGAAAAGCTTTTGGTAACACTTATTTATATGCCTTCATAAAAAGGGAAACTACACCTACATGAAAAGTATATGGGGTTACAGGTTTTTTGCTAATTTTCAACTGGACATTTTAAAAAAATTCAGAGTGTCTATCACTTGCATTTTTTAAAACAGTTATTTAGAAAGAAGCTTATTAATAGACCTTTATTCATTCATTTATTTAACCTTTCCTGAAGGGAAAAATACGTAACACACCTATGTACTTTCCCAGAGTAATGTAATTATGTTTTACTGGGGTGGACTTAACGCTAAAGATCCGAAAGATTTAGAAAATGAAACAGACTAGAGTCCCAGCTACCTAAAATGTCTAAGAATCTGGCAGGGTTTGGGTATAGGGGCATTTCTCTAAAAAGGAAGCTCTCTGTTGGTGATATTAGGAGTCCACAAAGCAAAAAAAAGGGCTTTAAAAAACAAACAAACTTGCAAAAATTGAGAAATCTACTGATCTAAGAGATTCTTTGAAACTATTGAAATTTTCCTCTTCAGACTTGTTTTGTCAACCTCCCCCCCCACTCCCCCGCTCCCTACACACCCTAGATTCAGCCTATAAATTTCTCTTTGTCCTTTTTTTAAAAAGAACAAGATAGAAAACTCTCTTTCTGAGCACTGGGTGTTTCTTCATCTGTCCTCCCTTTTTCATCTGAGCTTCTTAAAGGCTGGTCCGTACTCAGTCCTCACTTACAACCTGAATTCCTTATGCTATGGTTTCTACCCGCCGTCTGCACTGAAAGCGCTTCCCTTAAGAGGAACAAACTCCTAACTGCCCGGGCTTTTAGGGATTAAAAAGTTCTCATCATTTTTGACCTCTTGATATTCTAGGTAAAGATCAGTGACCTCCATCCTCATACTGTATTCACAGCGATCTAGCAAAAGTTTTCTTTTCTCTAAGAGGAAGTCGAACCTGAGCAAGGTCAGTCATGAGCCAGCCATCATCCGCCTCCTGTCTCACCTGCTCTCCCGATGTGTATTTCATACTTTAGGGAACCGCATCATACCTTGTCTCCTGTCTCTTGTGCCTGTTCACATTCTAGTATGTCCTGTGCCTGCAGTGCTCTCCTCCAGCCTGTCCACCCAGTCTTCATCGTCTTTCAAAATGGCTCTGGTTTTACCTTCAGCCTCCTCGATCGTACTTCCAAAAGCGAATCACTTTTTCTTTTGAATTCACTATTTTTGTGTGCCTTATTTCAGGTATTGTGTTATCTCCGTGTATTTCCTTCTAGACTGTGGATGCCCTGAGGGCAGAGTGTGGATTGTACTCATTCTCACTTTCTTTCGTGTGTAGCACAGTGCGTGGCACAGAGTCAGTGTCTGGTTCATCTTTGTTTTTGTTTGTTTTAGGTTCATCTTTGTTGAATGAAACTAAATGAGATGGTAAGCTTTGTGAGGGCACACATTTTATGAATAAATGAATGGGCAGATAGGTTTAATGGGAACCATTTGATAAAGTGTGAAAAAAGAGATAGTAGAGAAAACTATTTATTTCCTTTCGGCCACCCTTTTATTTCTCTTTGCTTCCTCACTCCCCAACTCCTTTTTTAAAATTAATATTATAAATTTCACACGGTCCAATTTGGAATTTTTTTCACAGACAGTTGATAATAATGAGAAATAAAAAGTCATGTGACAAATTATTAGGTCATTTCCAGATATATCACTTAAAATGTTTATATTTCAGAGAGATAATATATGAAAGCAGAAGAATGTGTGTGTTTGCAGTGGGTTCAGTGGTTCAAATGGGTGAACTTATTCCTTAAAGCAAATTTCCTTCCCACCCTTAGTCTTCCTTTTCCTCTCTCTGGTGTCAACCATAGGTACTAATTTTACGAATTTCTATTTTATCCTATCCATTTATAAGCAGATCAGTCTATTTTTTGTAAGCTTTAAAATGTATAGTTTGGAGTCTATAGGGTGGCATTTTTTTTTTTTAAGTTGTGAGTGAGACCAGTAGTCTTCACACTTTATGAAGTATGGTAATCTACCATAAAGTTTTGTGATGAAGTAATAATGATATTGCGTACCAGCATAAAGATCTATCTTGTATACCTTGCAGTGTTAGTGATCAGAAATACTGTTTTCAGTTGTGTTCCGTTTCATACTGATTTTGACCTTGACCCTTTGATTGGGAACATAAAGTACAAATGGAGTTTCAGGTGACTGGATATTCTGTTCTGATACTAATCTACTTGGCGAAAATGTCCTGAGCAGCTTATCCGCCAATTTGCACTTCATCCTGACTTTCTCCAGGCACTTTTATAGTTAGGATTTGAGGCACAAAGCAGTTGAGATTTTCACAGGCACACTCCAGGACTTGGTAATGGAACCAAGCAACATCACCCAAGATTCCTGGCTCTTGGCTTTCAGAATCAATTTAGAATACTTTTAGAAATGCATTAAAACTCTGCCAACTGTAGAGGTAGTCAGATGTAACGTGACACCTGTTCTTTCCAGAAAGTCATAGATTACCCCCCATCCCCCCCCAAAAAAAAACTTTTAAAGGCTCCAGTTAAAGATCTTTTTCCATCCTGTATTTCCTCATTTTTTGGTCTGTCTGGTTTTCAGTTTTCCTTTCCCACCTACTGTTCCTCCCAAAACTGCCCCAACAGATTTTTACATAGATTTATGTTACTGATCCATTTTGCAGTCTTAATGTCCTAATTCAAAACTCGTGTATTAATGTGTACACTATCTGCATTCCTGGAAAGCTATTCCAGTAGACTATCCTGGAAAATGACCAGGGAAGGCGCCTGGCATTTCTTTTAAGTCTTTAGGAAAAAAGGAAGATAGAATACAAACAAACAAACAAAACAAAACCCAGACTATTTGGAAGAGGTGTTAAAAGCACGAGGCCACGAGGAACAACTTGTTAAGTTCCCATGATTGCTGGCTTACTAGCACTGATTTTAATTTGAGTGTGTCTCTGATGTTGCCATTTCTTGGTTTGCCTATATTTAAGTTGTGTATAAGATTGTTGCCCTTGTATTGGTTACAGTGGTTCCAAAGCCTCCGTTTAAAGATGCTATTTAAACTCGGGGAGTATTATTCTGGCAGTGGCAGTTCAGCACCCTTCCCACTCACTCTTTATTCTTTTGAACTGCTAATTGTATAGAAGGTGGCAGCGCAACTTCTTTGACGTTTGTTGAATGCATCTACAAATTCTCTTGGCATTCTGCTCGAGACAGGTCCTTGATGGGAACTGTGCTGTCTGTCACTAGTGGCCTAGGTCCCGCTCTGTGTTGTCTGCTCTTGGTGATAAGTTCACGTCGTAAAAGAACCGTCCACCTGAAGGCTCCCGGAGCCTTCGATGAACACACCGTTCAGTTCTGACACGATCAGTGCCGGCATAGAGCACAGCGGCAGACATTTATCACTCTGTGCGGACAGAAAGAACACAGGTTCTGTCTGTAAGCTTACAGATGAGGAGACTGACCGAGGGCAGCCATGAATTTTCAAGATAACTTGTGATATCGTTATTATGAAATGTACTTGATGGTCTAAACCTTGGTAAATGAAACTTGCATTCAGTAGGTGCACGTGTGCTTAGTGGTATCTACTGTGTGTTCTAGGCATTTGTGAATTGGTTTCACAGAGGACAGTGGACATAGCCCTGGTGGTAATCCAGGGAATGAAGCGAGTTGAGAGACCA